TCCCAGGCCTTAGCAGTGGTCGAGGGAAAGCAGTATTTGACCCTGGTTTATCTGACTCCAAAATTCAGGACCTTCATCTCTGTAGCTGATGCTTCTTCACACCAATCAAGCCTCCAATTAGGCTGAGCCCTAAGGAATATTCATTCACGAAGTTACTATATTATAATCCAATGGAAAAACCAGGTTTTTAAAAAATATGTTAATAGAAGAAATCTATGTATAAATGTCTAGTGGAACAAAGAAGAAGGAGAGATTACTTTTGACTGCAGTAGACAAGATAGTTCCCATAGTGGAAATATTTTGTGCATTTTTATGGTGTTTATTTTGGGGAGCAACTGACTTATTTATCTCCAATAAGTGATATCCAGGGAAACATATTTTGCTTTGGTTTACCCCTGTGAAGGTAAAGATATGCAATAATTGTCCATGAATATGGTTTAACAGATGGAAAATGTTGCTTTTAGAAAAAGTCTCATATTTCTGAAGGCTGTTGCCAGATCGCCAGGAGCAGCCTCGTACCTTACGGAGAATGTGTGATGTATTTGGCAATTTGCAATTGCTGCGACTGAGTCACCTGAAAATGTGTATCTCAAATACTGATAAAACGGTTGCTTGAATTTATGCAGTCTCCTTGTTAAAACTGTTGCAACTTTCTGCATTTTTTTTATTTGCTCGAGGCTTGTATTAACTTTGCAATCTGGCAAATTTGTAGTAAAAAGTCTAAGAAAATTTCAATGAAATACTTTATGTGCAAGTCAAACTGTCATGAATGGACAGTAAAGGAGGATAGATCGAAGCTGAACAAAGAATAAGATAAAGGGAGTTTACCTCCCTTATCTATGGCAGAACTCTGTTCAATGTTTTCTGAAGGTTATCTCAATTCTAATTGCCTGTCTTCACCTTGTCTTTCTGAGAAACCACAGCCACAGGTGTCTTTTCTATGTGCATCAAATGCATTCTGTGTAATCAGGTAAGCTTCAGTGCTGGCACTGGTCATCCACAGATTAAATACAGGTGTATACGTAATAGATGGAGTAGAGTGGAGTCCATATGTGTATCTACACAGTTCAGAGCTGGCATTTGGATATTAATTGGTGTTAATGAAAGCAGAAGTCCCACAGCTACCACTTGTACAGGTGTCCACTCAGTCATCTTTGGTCCAAAGAATGGAGTGTTTCAGCTATTCAAAAATGAATGGAAGTATGTATATCCCACTTAATTTTGTGTGAAAAAGATAAGAGATTACATGTGTCAGGGAAAATTTAAGAACAGTACACAATCCATAAATCCACTCATTTGGGACCATTTTTAGCTTCCATTTTCACTATTACACGTTATTGAAGAAGAATGAATCCCATGAGGAAGGTAGCAAGTGAAAAGGGATAGAAACTGAGTATGTGAGATCCAGTCCTATGCTTATAAAATAAATACAAGCAAGAGCAAGTATCTGTGGTCAGTAAAGATGACCCTGAAGCACACAGCAGATATAATCATGCACAAAAGAATCATGAACGGGCTGCATGAGGGATGAGACACAACTCCTGAGACCCCCACCCACTTCACAGAGGAAATGGTACTGATGTCATTGCCTTTCTGTGTCCTTCAGAATGCACTGTTACTTATATTCTGCATGCAAGAAAGATTCACTGTCTGTACTACACCTGGTACCATTGATAATTTTTACTAATTTGATTTGTCATTTTTATCAAATGCTTTTGTCAATTCCATAAATCCTGATTTAAAGAGTCCATAATTAAGTCCATCATCCAAACATGTTAAATGATATTTCAAAGTCAAGATGAGAGTCCAGAAGAAAAGCTCAGTAATCTGACTTCCCTGTTTATGCTTCTTTGCTCTCTGTCTGTCTTTCTGTCTGTCTGTCTGTCTGTCTGTGTCATCCTGACGCTCTCAACACATCTCAACACATTTCTTAAAGTTTTTAAAATAAAGTCACATTTTTATTAGGATTAAACAAATGTCAGGTTTTTAAATGTTTACTTCTGAGGTGAGATTTCAATATCATATATTCTTTCCTTTAATGGTTTAGGTTTCCTTCAGTCTAAGATGCCATCCTTTGTATGTATGTAACTTAAACATTTTCTACATATGCACAGGAAGTGTGAGACATATAAATAGCAAATTATATTCTAACACAAATCAATCACCCAGTTATCTGATGAAAAGAGAGAAAAGCAATCTCTACCATTTCTTTAAGAAGAGGTAGCGTAACTCAAACTTGGTTTCGGGTGGAGAACATAAGCAGTAACTGCCTAGCGCCTAGGAGAGCAGAAGTGAAATGATTCCCCTTCTAACTCTTTTGACACAGACTCCTAGAATACAACGAGGAAACTATGGTAGTTTTTTCTTTCAGAGCACCCTTCTGGGAGTGGCATGGAGAAATCAGGGCAATTCCACGCCATTTATTCTCTAGTCATTAAAGTGGATGCTGTCTCGCACTTTTGACATACCTGTCTATGAAAGTGCATCCAGCACCGCAGGACAGAAATGAATACAGCAAAAGTGAGTTAAGCGTGAAGTTTGGAGAATGACAGGCAATTAAATTTATAGGAAAGTCTGAATATGGATTTATTTTCATGCCATGAATTCTTTAAGTTCAAAGTCATGCGCTGCTTATTAATGAATTCTAATCTATTAAACTTTAAGAAGATAGCTGGTCTTCCTTATTTTCTGAATGAAAGCATGCTGGATTTAATTCATATTTACTTCAGCTTCACAGTCAGAATGTAACAAAATGATGATAAAATTCTAAAGATTTGTGTTTTTCAAAGTTACCTGCAGCTTTCTTGATGATATAACACTCATACTGCCTGATTATCTATCTATCTATCTATCTATCTATCTATCTATCTATCTTCTACCTATCTGGATATCTACGTATTTTCCACATTTATACCATAAAAATAAATGAAGAGTAACAAAAAGTAAAATGAATTGCACTAATAATAAAGCAATAGAAAAAGTCAACCCAAATTACAGTGAAATGTCATTTACAGACTATCTTCTGTATCTATTTGATTTACGGTAACTAGGTTAATCAATGCAAATTTTTTGTTACACATAAAAAACATTAATCAACAAAGGAAACTGCTATTGAGGCCATGCAAATAAATTATTCACTGTAATTGATAAATCATTTCAAGACCTAACTTAACTGGCAATTAATATTAGTATAATAATTCGTACATTATTCAAATCAGTTATTGTATCCATTTTATTATGTAAATCAATAGTGCCTGCAAGTAGCCCATAGCAACATTTCAAGATATTTCAATGAAACCTTATGGGTCTTTTTGGATAAATGTGAAATTATTTCTGAAACTGCATATCAGGACACCGTCTCCCTTCAGAGAAAAGTTTTTCTTTTCTGCTGCCATAAAGAAAACCATATTTTATAGACCACTGACAAAAATCAAAGCTTTTACTGTATCACTTTTCAACTCACTCTCAGCTATTTGTACTAATCTCCCATTTTTCACTATACACTTGATATTTTAAATTTTTCATTTAAAAGCTCATGTTAGTTTTCCCAAGTGATATTGGTATTTCCACCTATATGTTTAAGTATAGATGACCAATTGTTATAAGTATATTTTATAATTCTAATCACAGGAAAGAGAAAGCTAAGTTTTATAACACTTCTTCAGTATGTGGTCCATGGCATGAAGGGAAGACAGAGAAACTTGTCTCCTCTTTCGAGTTCCTGAAATTGTCAAACCAGTCCTCTGGTCCACAGTCTATTAAATATTTTCTCATAAAGGTAGATAATACAAAAACCCTGAATCTTAAATATAGGTAGTTGGGTTGACTGAAAAAGGCCAATTAAAGGGAAAAATTAAATGACCACTTAATATATAAAATGCACTTGCTTTCAGTAACTGACTGTAACCTCACTTTCTTACGTGATAGATGTTTCACCATGTAATTCTCACTGATCAAATTCAATGAGTCTAGCTTGAAACCCTGGGAACAAAATTGATATAAAAATCATTATTTCAATTTGTTTGAAATAGAATTTTTGGTTGAAACATTTAGGGCTGTTAATATTAGCACGTACTAAACTATGAAAAGGTAAAGTATTCTGAATATCGCACGGTGCTAAAAGTCACCAGGGTCATTCTCTCACCTGGTATTCACTGCAGGCCTCTTAAATTCGGGACCACAGTGCTTAATAAATGTGTATTATACATTACACAAGTAAATGTTTCTCCTGTGTGTGTCAGCCTTCTCTCTTTTTTTTTTTCTTCTGCCAATATGGCTGAGTAGGTAGTCAATTGTTTGTAGCTGAATATTTTATTCAAACAATAAAACTATTCATTTTAAAACAAAAGAGAAGAAATAAGACAGCGGCTGACATGAGACTTCTGCGGCTGTCTTTCTGATACCTGCTATCTATTAATTGCTTTTTTCTGTGAGCCATTCCCATGGTAGTTAACCAGTCATTTCATTAGAAAAAAATATGGAAGGTAAAGTATTTATTTACACTTGGCCTCTTGCTCCTTTTACCATTTCCAAAGGTTTTCTATATCATGACTTTGGCTTAGTCTTAAAACTTCTGTTGATAGGTTTACGTAGTATTTTCATTATTGGGCTTGGAGTCAGCTTCTGAACCCATACTTAATCCTATTAAAGAAAAAAAGATGCTAAACAATAAATCCTTTGTAAAACTCAGCATGAAACATACCCAAGAATTAGCTTTTAGCTTCTGAAAATGTGCTTTGTATAATGCTTTAATAAAGGTCTTGAACCAAATTGGGTCCTTAGCCCTCACAGTAACTTTTAGAATAATTTTACAAGCATATGAAAGGTTAGCTGTCAAAAGGCCTCTATCAATCTCAGAGGTCCCACTGTGGCAGTGAGAGCTGCTTACGGAAACGGAGGAAAAGCAAGCAATGCAGATACAAAGTGACTTGTGCAACTCCTGGTCCACCTGAAGGAAGCCAGTGGCAGGTGGTGCTGCTCCTTACTGCAGAGCTACTTGCCTTGCAAACTGTAGATCTCGCCCACGCTGTTCTGACGAGTAATGTGATGCCAGTAGGCACTACGAGGAAGGGAGATGGATTTGGATAACGTCATTGGTTCAGTCAAGCTTGTCTGAAGCTAAAAAGAAAAAAAAAAAAAAAAGTCTTAGGCTTATTGAAAAATATTACACTCAAATCTGCTCTTTTAAATGAGGATTGACTGTGTGCAACTGTTTTAAAATATAATTGTCACTCAAAAAAAGTGAGATGAGCACTTATAAATAATTTAACCATTAAGAAGGCAACAAGACGGTCCTGCTAATTCCAAGGAAAATGGCGATAACTTTGAGTCAATGAGGAATGCTGGCAGAATCCAACAGAATCGTATTTCTCTAGGAAAATTTATTTCCATTCGTATAGACAAGGTTTTCTTGCCTTAATCTTAGTGCTGTATAACTTTTTAAATGATAAAATAACTTAAAAATGAAGCTGCGAGTCTCTTCAGAGTTGGATATCACAGCATAAGACACACATTATTCTTTTTTAATCATTTCAGTCTGTTTTGGAAACCTCCTCCAACCTTTGTAATGCTTGCTTTTCTCAAATATATTTTTCACTTGGCTGGGTGCTAGGATCTTGCGCATATTAAATACAGTTTTTTTTTTTCTGAGATAAGAGGGGCAACATCTTATTTGAAATGTATGGTTAGCTGAAGAGATCCAAACCATATTACATTATGTGCTAAGGTATATGATTAATTCAAAGAAAACAGTAGTTTCTATTACAATTTTAAGAAAAAAATTATTTCAATTGATTCATACCAGGTTTTAATAAACACACAGAAATAGTGTTATCTGATCTTCATACACATTTTTTTCTGGTACAGCATCAGCTAACATTGTCTTTTTGACAGAAATGTGAATTCTCTCACCAATAAAATCTCATCCTTCCTTAAAGCTTGACTTGACTGTGTCTATCACAGTGACTACCCAGTCCTCCCTCAGATTGTCACACACTCTCCTGGGCTTGGCTTCTGTCCCTTCTACTTTTCACAGAAGACTGAGGTCAGGGAGGTGTGGATATGTTGTACCAGACTTTTTAAATCCACATAAGAGGATTTCAGATTTTAATAGATGTATGCTACAGCCTTTGAACATATTTAATTGATTTTATTTTTTCTAGTGACAAGACATTTTCAGAAGAAAATGCCACTCAGTCTATTTAAATTTAGAGTCATCAAAGTTATTTTTAAAGACAGCTCCAAAAAACAATACTGCAACCAATTTGTATACTTCTGAAAATTGATATATTTCAAAATTTTCTCTTTATTTCATAAACGGGTACACTATCCACATCCACACATTGCGTGCATGTATGAGGCGTGGAGAAGACAAATATCTATCAGAATAGAGCAGAGGTTTCAGAATCTTTGAGATACTTGTTAACCAAGCACATTTCTAGTTTGTTCCTAGCCCTAAGTGTTGGAGAATATCTGTGCACAAGTTACCCAAGTTAAGAGCACTTCTGATAGTCTCATATAGACTACAGTTTGTCCCCCAGAACTGTATAAGAATAGAGACATTTTTAAAGGTGTTTTTGGGAGAAAAGGTCTTTCTATTTTGAAGTCAATTTCCAATATGAGGCAAAAAACTTCATTAAATGCCTACTTGTTTAATTTGGGTCAGCAGTGCCCATTAACAGCATCAATTAATCTGTGAAATGAATCTGATATTAATCACAGTTTTGTATATCATTTAAATTTTATTCTTAAATCATTTTTGTATATAGTTTAAATTTTATTCTTAAATCTATGGTAACCTGTTTATCCAATAAAAAACTTTTTCAAAATGATGAAAGTGATTTTCCTTCTATTTTCTTCATTCTGGGAAACATTTTTCCCTCCCAAAATGGTCAGTCGGTATTAAGAATCATGGAAACACAATAAACATATTTTGATTTCTGGAGTCAAATAATTGGAAGCCACTAGAGAATAATTCCATCCATTTCATTTCTATCTGAGCCACCCAATATTATTTGATATCTCACATTTCTTTAGTTCCCTTTCTTCACTGTTGTCAAGTCCTGGCATGCCTTTAACAGTATCTGTTTCTTTATTTGCTTCTTGGTTTTCTCTATATTTTACTTTTATATTTCATTGCAAAAACAGGAAAAGGAAAATCTGTGTTCAAAACCTGATTACAGATTTCCATAATCATGAAATCTGCAATTAGGAATTCTGTGAAGATTATAGAAGTTTTACAGATCTTATCCAGATGTCTAGGTGTGTTCCTCAAAATTATGGAGTCCACTTTCCATTCATCTCTATGTCTCAAGAACTGCTAAGAACCTGTGTCCCCCCTCACCACATCTCATGTTAAAGCCTTGCATCTCAGTGTGACTACACCGGGAGATAGCCCCTGACAAAGTAAGTGTACACGAGGTTGTAACATTGAGATCCTCATTCAACTTCATGATGTCTTTATAGGAAACGGATGAGACCTGAAGGATTCACGTGCTCACAGAAAATGCCATGAAAACATACAACATGAAAATGGCTACCTGTGTGCCAAGGAGAAACCAATCTCTGGAATTATATGATAACATGTTGCTATTGATTAAGCCACTTGCCTTGTGGTATTTTGTTTTGGCAGTTTTAAAAGAATAATAAAAGTACTCCATATCCTAGATAAGATAATAAAGTGTGTAGACTCTACCTGATTTGTCCAATAATTTTTTTTTTCTTTTGGTACTGGGGATCAGAACTAACAATGTTGCACTTGCAAGGCAGGTGCACTTATGCCAATGAGCTAAATCTCCAGTCCTTCTCCAGTAACTTTTAATTTGTCTACTAACTTTAAACTACGTGTTATGAATTGACCTTTATGGTTGGCAAAATGACACAGTGTGACAATAGTTCAAGTACTTTTATTAGACAATTTCGTTGGTTCTAATTTTAGGTTCTTAATATAATTTTATTTGGTGAGAGAATTCAAGACAACATAGAAAATCATCCTTAACTATTTACGTATTATAATAAGGTTTCAAGTGAACACATTAAAAAATAAGGTTTAAAGTGCTATAGTAATTTCTTTTTTCCCTATGGGGTTTCCCATATAAGAGAAATCATGCAATATTTAGGCTTTTAAAGGGCTGTGATAATTTCTTAACTGAAAGAACAATGCATCAGTTTGGCCTGGAAGATTTTTAGCATCATGATCATAAATATTTAAAAACATGTAGGATACTTTGTATTTATGCTAAATAAATGTCTATATCTCTATGTCTGTATATTTTATCTCTATACCTATAATGCGTCTATATATGTGAAAAAAGTCCTATTGTGAGATCAACTCTAAGTGATCAGTGTGTTTTAAGAAATTAGACAAGCCTTCTCTGGCAGGGTCTGCTGTGATATGTTTTGGTGGCATTGGTCACTGGAAAATTCCTCAAGAAAATGTACAAAATCATGCAGGGTATTGGACCAGATCTCCCTCTGTATTTTACTATGGACACTTTCACACAAGCAACACCCATCCATTTCTCCTTTTGCACAGACTGGGTCAGACTTCCAAAATGATGCTTCAGCACAGATGATAAAATCAACTAGACAGAGAAGCAGTTAGCTCAGCAGTTAATTACCAAGGCTTTCTGCAAACTTTGGTCTTAACCTTTCGGTTCCATTTTTTTCAGTATTGAGCAATGAATCAGAAGTTGCTTATTTAGCATGTGGAAATGGATGAAATAACAGCTCAAAAAAATTGAGAGTTAAAACACTGGTGTTCTGTTGGAGAGCTGTTTATCTCACAAAGCCCATAGACAAAGAATATGACTTAATTTCAAAATATGCTATATGGGAATAAAATTAATTCCTTTATCTGAGCACAGCATAAATAATGGTTATGGTGTCCTCAAGATGATGATACAGGATACCCAAAAGAAAAGAAATTTATATTTACAGGATTCTGGTAGGACTAGTCAATGCTTTTGATCTGTTCCATTTAGGCAATAATAATTAAACAAATACATGTTTTTGTAAACATCTGATAATATCAAAGAAATACCCAATATTATTTCCTATGGCAAACATCATCACCCTCTCTCACAAACTCTGGGAAATTCTTTTGAACATATCTTGTTGAAAGAGTAATTGTCAGGAAGCATTTCTTCAGGGTTCCTTCATGGCTTTACATTACCTGCCACAACTTTTGTTTCTTAGTATCTTTTCAGGTATGTTTGTATAACAAACTGCATTAAAATTCCACTATTATTTCAACTTGGATATTAATCTTTCCCAGGAAAAATGAGCCCCTCCTAAAGTATAACAATGGGGGATAATTCAGCCCTACCTTAAAAAGATTTAAACTGCCAGGAAGAAGCTAGTGTGTCTGGTAACCATTGTGATTTTTAAGCACACCACCATCTCTTTGTTATTTACAAAAAATAATTCATTCAGATTACATTACTGCCTTTTTTACTTTGCTACTTGACACTTTTTTTCTCTCCATAATAAACATTAATGCTAACTTATATTAATCTATAGAAAATTCATTTGCATAAACGTTTGACTTTCTTTTACTCTGAATCACCATAGTGCTTGCCTAGAAATCTAACAAAAAATGTTAGCCCTTGAGACACAAATGTATATAATTGGAAGAAAAGAAATTCATCACTGAATTAACATGTATGAGACGTTTCCTATGTAACTGGCAACGTGAAAACTAGTTCCATGTGTTATCCCTTTGAATATGTATGTAAGTTATCAACAAAGGTGCCATCTGAATTTTACAGACAAGGGTGATGAGATGCACAGGGCATTATCTTTTGTTCATGGAAGGCGGGCTTGTGATGCTCTTCCTTCATCACCACAACTCACTGCAAAATAAATGATGGTGCCCTCCTTCTCTAGAGCAGTTTAGGTGAGAATTACCTTTCCTGAGCAAATTTCAGAGGCACAGTACCAGGCTATGATGCAAGATGGAAGCATCTGCTTTCACTGTGAGCTGACCTGCTGTGGAATAAAACACACAGCTGTCTAGGTATTTCAATTCTGGCAAGAAAGGTACTTATATATATATTGTAAGATTCACTTTTATCTCTAAATAGAGTAAATGCACTTGACGAGATGTTATCAACATATAA